CCAAACCACTAGTCCAGTCACTCAGCCTTCCACCAGCCAGGTCACAACAGCCTCTGCCTCTCACGGTCAGTGTTTTAATCACTAATATTAGCATAATGCACATTTCTGTGACACAGCACATATCAAAGTATCTTTGCTCTTCTCTGTTTCAGCTCTGGATACAGGTGCATTCTGGATAATCACTGTGTCATTATTTGTGCTCATGCTTCCCCCATGAACTGTTACCACGCATTGGAGAACTTTGTAGAGCAGTTAATCGCTGACTAATCCAAACCATCTTTTCTTTTTTCCTAACCACCATTACAATGTTTCTTTATATATCCTTTAATCACGTCAAAAGCACATATTGTAGGGAAACATACTTCATACTTTTACAGTCATTCACAAATTTTGGGTAGCATCAAGAAACACATCAATCCCTGCTCTTCTAATCTTTTATTTTTAAGCAACTATAATAACATTATATAATTTCATAATATTATGCCTTTTTTAACAAGAATAAATAAATAAATAAATCACAAATTAAAGTATAATGTGAAACTTCTAACATTTATTCACCCTCATGTTTTTCCAAACCAGTATGAAGGAATAAAGACTGAGATGTTTGTCAGAATGTTGACACTTCTCTTTTCCATATGATATCATGAAAGTGGACAGTAACCAGCGTCTGTTGAGCTCCAAAATAAATAATTAAATAAACTTCTGCATTTATGAGGAAAAGACCAATATTTAACCCATAATGCACTGCCAATAATGAGAATCAGTCACAATTTCAAAGCAGTTTTAATGTGTGCATATATTTGTACATGAAAAATCAATATTTGTATTACTTATTATTAAACATTATGCAAAATTAGCTCAAGTCAGTTCAGTGTTGGTTTAGTTCAGATAGGACTGCAATCATATTTTAATTGTGATGATCAAGATTTCTGCTTCTCTAGATTTATTAAGCATAATGATCTGCAATATTTGCCTGCTGCTTATTTATCTTGAATCAAGCTTTTACTTAATCTACCCAACCTGGTAACCAGAATTGCTTAGATTTCCAAATACCTGCAGTACTGTGACTCTCTGCCACAGCGAGAGGTGTGTACATCTGCTTAGACTCTGATATGGTGCTAAGCACTTTTCCACATCAAAGAGCATTTATATAAATATGAATGTTGATAGATTTTAGCATATGCACACTCTAAGATTAAATCTGTGTAAATCTTTTTATAAATGTGGCCCCAGAACTGATATTTTCTGGTGAATTAACACCATATCTTACTCCTGAAAAGGGTTAGGGTTAGGTTTTTTGAGAATACAGCCATCTCCCCCATCACAGTCTCGCCAGACTGTGTGGTTTGAAGTAGGGAGGCCGAGGAAAGGGACGGGCCAGCGCATGTTTGTGAGAGTGGATGAACTTTGATTCCTATTCGGGCTGGGAGGTTGTCTTTTTGAGGAGAAGCTGTCCCTCAAGGTTGCTGCCTGCTTTGGCCTAGTATTCTTTCAGTTTGAGGAATACGAACCTTTCGCTCTTGACTTACTCCGGGCCAGCGAATCAAGCTACTAGTTTGCTAATCCTGGTCTGGCATCGCATTTCCTCCAAAATCTATTTTTTTGTTTAAGTAAAGATATTATAATGGTTATGTATTAATGACACATGTTAGACTATACTCCTTTTGCCTTTGTTTTGTTCCTGTCTAGGAGATTAGCCCATCTGGCCGTCGGACTCAAGGGTTTCAGGTCCATCGGTCTATGAATGTTAGGTTTAGGGTGAGTATTGGTTCAGGGCTAGATTTAGATCTATTCTAGCGACGAAGTCATTGCCGTCCATTTGATCTATCAGTGTGCCACAGCAGTCAAGCCACCGCAGGCCAACCGGTCTGACTTTCTCTCTAATTTCCCTTATTCTCTATTTAATAATTTTTTCATTATTATTTTTATTTATTTATTATTTATTATTATTTATATATTGGTTTGTTACCATAGGCCCCTATTAGGTGTGATTTAGGAAGGACTAAGCCTTGATTGCTGAAATCAGATGATTTGGTCAGTTTGGTGAACTTCTATGCTTTGAACCACTGATTCAAAACAAAAGATTAGTAAAAGTTCTCTGACTATATCAATAAACCCCACCTTCAAATCTGACTGACAGTTGACTGTATCGGCTTGTATCGTTTTTGTGAAGTGACGTCACTGGTGACGTTCGAAGCTTTGTTTGATTGCAGTGCTTCGAGAAAGAGTTCACTTTTGGGGAATCCACTCAGCCTGAAACCAGTGGAAGAGAAATATTGTTTTTAAACTTCCACTGCCTTCTGTCCAGTCCATATTAATCACTTTCACCCTCTTTTATCCAGTCTAAATAACTCCATAATTTCCGTCTGTTCAACAAAAGCACCGCCCAAGTTACGATTATGAAGCTTAATCTCACCACCACTAGAAAAACAGCACAATATAATCGAAACCTGTCAAAATGTGCCAATTTACTGCAAACCAGATGAAAAACCAGAGGCACTGCTGCAATGTCTCTTTTTTTTAGCGCTTTTCACAATGCAAATTGTTGTGTTTTTTTCTTTTAAATAAATGAGAACCTATATCCAGTAATAAATGTTATGAGCCAATTAGGAGTTGTTTTTTGGTTTGTTAACAGTTCTGTTGAAGGTGGGAGAAAGCGTGTGAAGCTGATTGAATGTGACCACTGAACTGCATCAAGAGAAATGCCATCAGGTGAAAAGCTTGGCCTATATCTTATTTGCCTTTTTTCTTCATGCATGTTTTTTTCCCTCTTCATCTGTGGTATGTTCACTTTAAAAAAAAAAAATTTTTTTAATTTTTTTTTTTTTGGCTACGAATTTCCTCCACTTACTGAACTTGGTGTTTGTTATGTACAGGCAAATTGTGACTTTGGAATAATTATTTTAGAAGAGCTATGACAGTGGCAAACATTTCTTTATTGTAATGTGGGCTGTGACTGTACAATGAGTGGTAAGGCTTTTAAAGCTCAAATGCAGTGCTTAATGCTTGACTGTGTATGAATGTCTTGGGTTTCACATAATCTGCTCTAGTTTGTTCTTTCAGATCCTTCACTTTCCTGGGCATTGTATAAGAAACAGTTTACGTCACTGTGGCATTTGGTGAGGTTAAATGTTTTGGTATTTGTGATTAGATCTGAATTTCTGAGGAACCATGCACCAACAGATGAAATTGTTTTCTAGAGTGTAGGCAGTTCTAAATTGATTGTTGCTTGTTCGTGTCTTGCTGTTATTACTTTTGTGGCTTATACCTGTTGTACATCAATGGCCCTTTGGGTTCACACGTCTTATGGTGCCATTATCAAGTAAAATTATTTTTATTTTTCTCTAAGCGTCAGCATGACTCTTACATCTTATCACTGATGTGATCATAGTTTTAGACCCTATACTGACATCTATTGATATTAAACTGCGTTGTCTGTGCTGCCACCACTATATCTGGATCTAGCCACCACTATATCCCTCCATTTTAAGCTGA